GGTTTTAGCGATGGACAAATTCTGTAGCTAAACAAAAAAATCCGTCGCTAATCTCATTTAGCTACGGATTAGCGACAGATTATCAAGAAATTCTGCTAGTTACGGACAATTTAGCGACAGATTAGCGACGACAGTTGTAGCTAATTCTAATTTTTTTTTAGTGATTGTACATTCTCTAGCACTTAATTAAATTAATTTAAATGATCATCATAAAATTCACTATGGTATTATAGCAGACATAGGTCCCGCGTTGAAGACTCATCACTCAACGAATTTCCAAGTACATGTGCTTCCATACTAAAATGACCAGGTCCGTATTTAAGGGGCCATATTGAAATATATTTCTCTCACAAATTAAATTTTTAGATGAGATAATTTTTCACATGTTTGGCCATTAATGTTGGGCATACTTGTGTATGTTTTAATATTAATTTACTTGCATTTTTGTTGCTTTTTTGTTGTATTTTATGATAAATATGACCAGGCTAAAGATCTTGATTTTACATTAACGGGATGTTAATATGATTTTTCAGGAGAAGTAAAATTGATTTAAAGGTGAAATAGAGTTATTCGTGAAATTTAAGCACTCTAGCAGCATAGGCGTATCTATGTGGAGGAGCATGGGGCACGTGAACCCCTGCTCTTCTCCCTATACTATGTATAATGATGTTAGTATTGTATGAGATAAAATTGGTTAGCGACAGGTGGATGAATGGCGAGATGACACGTGTAACTAGAGACAGGTAAGATATACAACAACAACAACCCAGTATAATCCCACTTGTGGGGTCTGGAGAGGGTAATGTGTACACAAACCTTACCCCTACCCTTGGGTAGAGAGGCTGTTTCCGATAGATCCTCGGCTCTCTCCCTCCAAGAACTCCCCACCTTGCTCTTGGGGTGGCTCGAACTCACAACCTCTTGGTTGGAAGTGGAGGGTGCTTACCACTAGTTAGCAAAATAGTTAGCATCGGATACAGATATGTGACCGGTACAAAATAAGTTTCGAGGGCATTGGAACCAGGAACGAAGATTTAAAAGTAAGACGTCGGTTGGAAAAGATAGCATCCAATGAGCACCCGTTACAAAGAATCTTTGTATTAATGTTCAATCGTTATGCAGCCATCAATATGGGTTTTATTCTCATTAAAGAAAAATTTAATTTGGGGATCTTGTCTCCCTGAATATAGCTATAAACAGGAGAATTTATATCCATAGTTGGATGAAAAAATCATCTGTACTCAAAGGCTAAAATTTGCTCTTAATTTATGAAATCATTCTCTTTCTTTCATTCTTAACTCTATTCTTGTCACTGCTTCTGGAGAAGTTAGATCCACATCGAGGCTTGTATTCTCTTCAAGTTATTTAATAATCTTATTTCTGTTCTTATTATTTTCATATTCTTGGATCAAATTAATTCACGTGTTTATATACCATGTTATAAATTCAACTGTATTATTTTTCGGGTAAATATTTTGGCGCTCACTGTGGGGCATAGACAATTGTGTAATTACTTTGATCCATTTATCTCTTACTAACACAGTTTGATTCTTTTCTCTATTGAAAGAAAAAATAGATATGTTAGCTAATGATGTGAACAACTCTTACAATGATGGAACAAACAACGAGGATGTGTTCCAGTGGAATGTTTCAACCAGTGAAACTTGCACCGAAGGGGATAAATCAACTCCGGTTAATGGAGGACGAAATCCTTAGCATGTGAGAAGCCCAACTCCTGACGATGTGGATGATGAACGAGTTGTTGAGACGGTTAAAATTTTGAGGGAGCAACAAAGGAAAATTATGAATCACCTCTCAAGACAAGATCGGGTAATGAAGGAACTGAAGCAGACACTATCGGTTTCTTCCAATAACTCCAATGGAGGAGTTCGGATTCCTCCCAACGTCCCTTCAAATCAAATAGTTCAAAAGACCAGCAACGATGCACCAAGGGAGGAGTTCGGTTTTGATGAGGCAGGTAGTACAGGTAGTGGATCCGGGAACGACAACAATGCTAATGATCCTTTCAAAATGCGAGGTCGAGAAATTCTTAAGGGAGATGAAAAAACAAATGGAGCAAAATGCTAAGGAATTTCATGCTCGGAGGCACCATCTCGGGGGCACCATCGGTGTTAAAGGGATCAGATTGAAAGAAGTATACACAGTTGCCATTCAAACCAAGTGTGGCCCCGGAATTAATTCCGAAAAGATTTAAGATGCCTGACATCCAGAAGTATGATGGGACGTTGGATCTATAGGAGCATATCACAACTTATACTACCATAGTAAAGGGAAAAACTTGGCCCCACACGAGATCGAATATGGTTTGTTGAAAACAAATGGCGAAACCCTAACGAAGGGTGCTTTAACTTGGTATTATCTTTTACTTGAACATTCTGTTGATTCTTTTAAAATGCTTGCAGATTCTTTCATTAATGCTCATGATGGGGCAAGAAAGGTCCAAGCTAGAAAGGCAGATATATTTAGAATCATCCAAGGAGAATCCGAACTATAGCGAGAGTTCATAATCCAATTTCGGAAGGAAAGGATGTTGTTACTGGTAGTACCGGATGAGTGGGCAGCTGAAGCATTTACCAAGTGTCTCAATCCATTGAGCTCTGATACCTCCCACAAGTTGAAGGAAAGCTTGTTAGCATTTTAGGCAACCACATGGGCAGATGTCCACAATCGCTATGAATCAAAGATTAGAATAGAAGTTGATAAACTGAGTTTTTCGATGTCTTCCAGAGAACTTAATCATGATCGGAATCAAGAAAAGTTCAAAACTAATTTCAATGCACATTGGAGACCTTCCAGGAGTTGTTTTTAGCCTTACAAAATAGTCGATGGGCATGGGAGTAAAGGATTTCAATCATCAGACAGGTTTGCTTCTGATAGAAGGACTGATCGTGGTCGGAATAGTAGAACTTTACAGGAGAAGGAATCATCGAGGTCCCTAGATTCAGCATACCCCCGGTTATCTGACTACAACTTCAACATCAATTTAGTAAAGCTGGTTTCGGCTATGAGAAGTATTAAGGAGGCAAGATTTCCAAAACCAATTCGATCGGATACTAGTCAATGGGATCTTAAACTATGGTGTGATTTCATGGAACACATGGACGTAGAACTGGGGACTGCTGGCACCTTCGTGAAGAGGTTGCAGCGCTACCGAAAAATGGTCATCTTAGAAAATTTCTAAGTGATTGGGCAAAGAATAATTATGGGAAAAATCGAGAAGTTGCATAACCATCAAAACTAACTACATGATCATCTCGCTTGACAATAAACATGATCTTTGGTGGTGACGAAGTCAATGGGGTGATATTTTTATTATAAAAGAAGATAAAGATATCGGTAACTCATGGAAAAGGGATCTGAGAAGCTTCAGAAGATGATGAAATCACTTTCACGAAAGAAGATGCTAATGGCCTTCTTTTACCACACAATGATGCTCTGATAATATCGCTTGATATTTTAGATTTTAAAATTAAACATGTGTTGGCTGATCCAGGTAGTTCAGTCAATATCATTCAATAGAGAGTTTTGGAACAAGCAAAGTTAACCAGAAATATAGTTCCGGCAACAAAGTGTTCTAGATGGGTTTAACCTAACAAGTGTAACGACCCGTAGAGAGATTTTGCTGCACACGCATGCTGAAGGCGTAACGAAGACCACTTTGTTCAAAGTGGTAGATGGCAACATGGGATAAAATGTGATCCTTGGAAGGCCATGGATACATGAAATGAAGGATGTGCTGTCAACTTATCATCAACTGCTGAAGTTTCCCATACAGGAAGGGTAAAATAGATTAGTGGAGATTAACCAGCTACAAAAGAAATGAATGAAGTTACCTTGTCCAGTAAAAAGGCAAAAAATAATCAAATAGCAACTACAAGAGTCGGTGCCCTCTTCCAACCTGATTGAAGATAATGGAGAAGAGGAGTCATTATATTTATATCAAGTACCGAGGTCTTTTTAGGTGTCGTAGGAAACAAAACCAAATCAACCACTGAGGAGCTCGAACAAACTTCCTTGTTCACGGAGTTCCTAGAAAGGAAGTTCAACCTGTGAACGGGAAGCCCCGATCTAAGACTTAAAATTATTGATTTTCTTAAAGCTAACATCGATTATTTTTGCATGGTCACATTCAGATATGACAGGTATTCCATTAGAATTGGCTTTCAACAAGATAAGTTTGGATCCTAACTTTTCTTCGGTAAGGCAGAAGAAACTACCGCTAATAGAGGTTAGAAACAAGTTTGTCAAAGAAGAGGTAACCCGGCTACTAAATATAGGTTCAATTTGAGAGGTAAATTATCTCGATTGGTTAGATAACTTAGCGATTATACCTAAAAAGAATAATAAATTTAGAATGTGTGTAGATTATAAAGATTTGAATAAGACATGCCCTAAGGACTCTTTCCCGTTGCCAAACATTGATCAAATGATCGATGCTATGGCTGGGCATGAGTTAATGAACTTTCTTTACGCATATTTCGGGTATAATCAAATTAGGATGCACCCGTAAGGTAAAGAACAAACCTCGTTTATCACAAATTTTGGCACATACTGCTCTAATATGATCCCTTTCGAGCTTAAGAATGCTGGAGACACTTACCAGAGGCTCGTCAACAAAATTTTTAAACAACAAATTGGTAAACTATGGAAGTTTATATTGATTATATGTTGGTTAAGTCACTTAATGCAGGAGATCATTTGGTTCATCTACAAGAGATATTTGATATTCTGAGAAAGTACAACATGAAGCTCAATCCTGAAAAATGCGCTTTCGGAGTTGATTCTGGAAAGTTCCTGGGGGTTTTAATCTCTCAGAGAGGAATTGAATAAACCCCGATAATATAAAATCCATCAAGGATATCCCGAATCAATCGACAAGTGTGAAGGAAATGCAAAGATTGACCGGAAGGTTGGCTGCCCTAAGCAGGTTTATATCAAGATCCTTGGAGAAATGTCATGATTTCTTCTCGCTCTTAAAAATGAAGAATGCGTTCATGTGGATTCCGGAATGTCAAAAAGCATTGAAAGACTTGAAAAGGTACCTGTCTGGTCCTCCACTATTGTCAAAACTGATGGAAGGTGAGCAGTTGTTAATTTATTTAGCGGTTTCGGAAGTAGCGATAAGTGCTATTCTGATCCGAGAGGAGGAAGGTATGCAATTTCTTGTTTATTATGTTAGTAAAATTTTATCGGGAGCGTAGACACAGTATGCGCACCTAGAAAAATTGGCTCTAGCTCTCATAGTCGCCTCTCAAAAGTTGAGGCCTTATTTTTAGTTCCACTCAATAGCCGTTGTGACGACTTTTCCCTTGAGGAATCTCCTTCATAAACCTAAATTGTGGGGTTGTTTGGCTAAATGGGTGGTAGAAATTAGTGAATTTTATATAAAATAGAAACCTCGGACAACTATCAAGTCAAAAGTTTTGGCCGACTTCGTAGGTGACATTAGTCCCTGACTGATGCCTTAGCTGCTAAAGAAGCACTACTGGTGTCGGGAACCGTATCGGGTGTTTGGACCTTGTTTACAGATGGAGCTTCCAATGTAAATGGGTTCGGTCTTGGGATAATGTTAATTACTCCTTCGGGAGAAAATCTGAGACGAGCCATTTGAACTGTACCATTTACTAACAATGAGGCTGAGTACAAGGCTTTTGTTGTAGGTCTTTGAGTTAGCTCGGGGACTAGGCTCCGAGGTAATTGAAATAAAGTGCAACTTCCAACTAGTAGTGAATCAGGTATATAGAATTTTCGACACCAAGGAGGAGCACATGCAACAATATTTGAATAAGGTTCAAGTATTACTCTCCTGGTTAGGGGATGGTCGATCATCCACATTCTAAGGGAAGAAAACGTGGAGGCAAATGCATTGGCCAATTTGGGGTCGTCAACAAAAATGAAGGGATCTGATTCCGGTGCAGTAGTTTAATTATTGCATTCGGTATTGGATGTGGACGAATATTGTGAAATTAACTCAACCAACCTAATTTGGGATTGGAGAAATGAGTTTATAGAGTATTTAAGGCATGGAAAATTGCTTGAAGATATAAAAGCATCCCGGGCGCTACGGACTAAAACTGCTCGTTATTGCCTTATTGATGGTCAATTATACAGAAGGTCTTTTCAAGGACCATTGGTTAGATGTTTAGGGACATCGGAGGCTGATAACGTGATGAGAGAAGTTCACGAAGGAGTATGCGATAATCACTTCAGTGCAGATTCATTGGTTCTAAAATTAATAAGGGTTGGCTATTATTGGCCACAGATGGAACAAGACGTGAAGGCATTTGTACAAAAATATGATAAGTGTCAGTGTAATACACAGTTAGTGCATAAACGGCAGAACTTTTGCACTCTGTGGTGTCAACATGGCCGTTCATGAAATATGGGACATATATAGTTGGTTCCTTACCACAAGAGCCCGGGCAGGTAAAATTGTTTTTGGTTCTGACTAACTATTTTACTAAATGTGTTAAAGCAAGTGCTTACATAAAGATCGAGGAGCGAGAAGTGATCAATTTCATATGGGATAACAACATCTGTTGGTTTGGAGTACCAAAAGAAATTACTTGTGACAATGGGCGACAATTTATAGGTTTCAAAGTCATAAAGATTTTGGAAAGGTTAAAGATCAGTCAGATTACATCTTCTCCATACCATGCAAGTGTTAACGGACAAGTGGAGTAAACCAACAAGGTAATAATTCAAAATCTCAAAAAGAAGATAGAATATGCTAAAGGTAATTGGCCAGATGAGCTACCATGTGTTTTATGGGCACATCGAACAACGGCGAAATCGAGCACGGGTGAAACTCCATTTTCACTTGTATACGGTGTGGAAGGTTTGATCCCCGTGGAGATTGGAGATTTGACGATAAGGTTTTCCCGGGCAAACGAATAGGCAAATAATGAAGCATTGTTGATTAGGCTGAATATCCTTGAAGAGCATCGAAACTTAGCATATGTAAGGATGGTATCACAAAAATAAAGGATGCAAAGATATTATAACCGCAGAGCAAACCTTTGTTATTTCAAAGTCGGAGATTTGGTTTTGATAAAAGTAACTCAAAATACCCAAGAATTTAGTGTCGGGAGCCATACTCATCTACTAGAAATCCCTAAAACCCGGTATCACAAAGTACATTAGTATCTAGTAGAATATACAAAACTACTATAACTATTGTCTCGAATAAAATAGATAGAATAAAACAAACATAGGGGAAAGGAGACTCCATGTGTTGCAGGTCGAAGCATGGAAAGCAGCTCACCACAAGGTCTCCAGCAAATGGGGTAACGCGCCCGAGTGACCATGTGAAGTACCTGTCTCAGTACCTACACATTAGTATGAGTACATAAATCAGCTTGTATACAGTAAGTATCTAGTCTAACCTCCAAGTTGTAGTGACAATGGGTCTACATCAACACTTACTAGTAGTCCAATAATAGTGTACATAAAGTAGACATGTATGAAACACAACAAGTAGCAACGAAACATATCAATATAAATAATAAGGTTCTCAAGTAAGAGTGATTACGAAATCATCAAATACCATAAAACTACTACCAAGGAAACCAGGACAACCAATCAAATACAATGCCAAATCTCAAGCCAGGAAAACTAATATGTATGCTGACTCCCTATCGAGTATTACGCACGAGTATGCCGAGGCGACCAACCCGATCCCATAAGAATAGTGTTACACAATATCGCCGAGGCTAATGGCCCGATCTCATAAGAATAATTCACAATACTGCCAAGGCGAACAGACATATCCTATAATGATATTTCATAACAGTGCCGAGGAGAATGGCCCAATCGCATAAGAATAGAGAAAATTTCTCACCTACGAAGATACGTGCGAGTCGAGAAGACACGGAACTACCGATCACATAAACTCAACAAGTGGATAGGAATGCAAGAGAAAATATAATTGTTACCGATCATTAAATGTCCCACAAAAGTTTAAAGTAAAAAGGCTCGGTCAATACATAAATTCTAGTCTCAATCTCAGTTATAAATTCAAGCAAATCAACAAACAAGTTTAATTCAAATAGTACAGTTAAGGCATGGTGTAGGTCTAAGTCTACCCGGATATAAACATAAATCTAATTGCGCACGGACTCTCATTACCTCGTACGTACGTAGCACCCATAACAAATAGGACACAACAATTAAAATAACTATGGGGATAATTTCCTCTTATATGATTAGGAAGGAGACTTACCTTACTTCCAAGCCCACTACTATGCGCCCATACCTCACTATGCACCTCAAATCGATGACGAGCAACCCAAAACTTATGATACTTGATGAAAATCCCCCTTCAAGAAGCTCCCAAATTGCCCAATCCATGAGATAAATCGGTGAAATGAGCCTAAGTCCCGTATTAAAACTTGTATTCTACCCATGTATCCTTTATCGCGATCGCGGAAAGAGACTTGCGATCGCGAATGCCAAGCTGCCCTCTGCTCAGAAATACTCATCACGTTCGCGATGACAAGGCTACGTGCGTAGCACACCAGCACCGGCAAAATTTGCCAACTTCTACCTTGCTCCAGGTGGTCCGAAACACAGCAATGCCACCCGAGACCCCGTGCAAGTATACCAACAAGTCCATAAACAGAATTCGGATCTACTCGAAGGCTCAGAACACATAAAATAACATCAAAATCAAGAATCACACCTCAAAACAAAATTAACCAACTTCTAAACCTCAAACGACTTCCAACTAACTCCAAATGCGACAAATCATACTTAGACAACTCGGAATGACGCCAAATTTCACACACAAGTCCAATATGACAGAACGAACCTACTATGGGGATTGAAATTCCAAATGCGATATGCTAAGACCAAATTTTACTTCAAATCAAACTTAGAAAACTCTAAAACCTTCAAGATGCCAACTTCCAACAATAAGCGTTGAAATTCTCACAGTCCACGCGAAACTCAATCCGAACATATGCCCAAGTCTAAAATTATCACATGAACCTATTGGAACCTTCAAATCCCGATTCTGAGGCCGTTTACTCAAAGTGTTGACTCAAGTAAAACTTGGTCACTTTAGGCCACTATTATGGAATTAAGTTCTTCGAATTCAACACGAACCCTTCCAAAACCAAACCAGCCATACCCACATATCATAAAATTGGAAAAGTATATACGGGAAATCATAAATAGGGAAACGGGGATCTAGAAAGAAAAATGACCGATCGGTTCATACATTCTCCACCTCCTAAAGAAACGTTTGTCCTCGAATAGGTTTAGAATCATACGTGAATTGCCGAATAAATATGGATATCTACTCCGCATGTCCTCCTCAATCTCCCAAGTCACCTACTCAACTGGTTGACCCCTCCACTGGACCTTCACCGCTGCAATCTTCTTGGACCTCAACTTGCAAACCTGCCTATCAACAATGGCAACTAGCTCCTCCTCGTAACCCAAGCTCTCATCCAACTGAATTGTGCTGTAATCCAACACATGTGACCTGTTGTCATGGTACCACCGGATCATAGACACAAGAAATACCGGATGAACTCTCGATAGGCTAGGAGGCAAAGGAAGCATGCATGCAACCTCACCAACTCTTTCCAAAACCTTGAATGGACCGATGAACCTCAAACTCAACTTTCCCTTCCTTTAAAACCTCATGATACCCTTCATCATTCAGGCTTTCAAAAACACCTTCTCGCCCACCATATATGACAAATCATGCGCCTTCTGATCCGCATAACCCTTCTAAGTGGATTGTGCTGTGCGAAGCTGCTCCTGAATCAACTTTACCTTATCCAAGGCATCCATTACCAAATCAATACCATATAACCTAGCCTCGCCGAGCTCAAACCAACCAATAGGGGAACAACATCATCGGTTATACAAGGCCTCAAAAGGAGCCATCTTGATACTGGACTGATAACTGTTGTTAGCAAACTCGGCCAACGGTAAGAATCGGTCCCACTGCCCCCCAAAGTCAATCACGCATGCTTTGAGCATATCCTCTATAATCTGAACTGTCCGCTTTAACTTTCCATCGATATACGGATGAAAATTCGTGTCAAGCTCTATATGGGTACCCAACTAACTCCGTACTGCTCTCCAGAAATGCAAAGTGAACTGAGTGCCTCGATCTGAAATAATGGAAATAGCTACGCCATGAAACCAGACGATCTCCTATATACAAATTTGGGCCAACTTCTCTGAAGTATATGTAGTCATCACCGGAATAAAGTACACAGACTTAGTTAGTCTATCAATAATGACCCAAACGACATCAAATTTCTTTAACGTCCGCGGGTAAACCAACCACGAAATCTATAGTTATGCTCTCTCACTTCCACTCCGATATAGCCATTTACTGAAGTCAGCCACCTGGCCTCTGGTGGTCGTACTTAACCTGCTGGAAATCCAAACACCTCCCCATATACTCAACTATGTACTTATTCATCCATCGTCAACAGTAATGCTGCCTCAGGTTACGATACATCTTCATGGCACCTGGATGAATGGAATAATGTGAACTGTGTGCCTCCTCTAAAATCGTCTCCCTCAGGCCATCAACATTATGAACACATAAGCGACCCTGGGGTTGTAGAACACCATCATCTTTGATAGTAACCTCCTTGGAATCACCTTGTAGTACCGTCTCTCTAAGAACCAGCAAGTGCAGATCATCAAACTAACGAGCCTTAATCCGCTCGAATAAAGAAGACTAAGCCACAACACATGCAAGAACTCGACTGGGCTCAGAAATATCCAATCTCACAAGTTGGTTAGCAAAAGACTAAATGTCCAAAGCCAATGGCATCTCCTCTACTAAAATGGATACCAAACTAGCCATACTCTCGGTCTTTCTACCCAAGGCATCCGCGACCATATTTGCCTTGCCCGGATGATATAGAATGGTAATATCATAGTCCTTCAGTAACTCAAGCCACTTGTGCTGCTCAGATACGATCCCTCTACTTTAATTTAGGTTGCAAACTGTGGTGATCGATGTAAACCTCACACGACACTCCGTAAAGATAATGTCACCAGATCTTAAGAGCATGAACTATCGCAGCCAACTCCAAATTGTGCACAAGGTAATTCTTCTCGTGGGTCTTTAGCTGACGTGAAGCATATGCAATAACTCACCCCTCCTACATCAATACACAACCCAACCCAACGCGCGAAGAGTCACAATACACAGTATACATACCTAAATCGGTGGGCAAAACCAACACTGGTACTGTAATAAATGTGGTCTTGAGCTTCTGAAAGCTAGCCTCGTAATCATTGGACCATTTTAACTGAGCACCCTTCTAATTCAATCCAGTTAAAGGAGTTGCAATATACGAGAAGCCTTCCACATACCAATGATAATAACCCGCTAGCCCCAAGAAACTCTTGATCTTGATCGCTGTGGTAGGACGAGGCCAACTCTAGACTGCCTCGATCTTCCTGGGATCCACCTTAATACCCTCACTTAACACAATATGCCTCAATAAATCCACATATTCTAACCAGAACTCGTACTTGGAGAACTTAGCATATAGCTTTTATTCCCTAAAAGTCTGAAGCACTATCTTCAAATGCTTCTCATACTCCTCCATGCTATGCGAGTAAATCAATATGTGATAAATGTAGATAATGACAAATGTCAAGAAATGGCCTGAACACTCGACTCATCAAATCCATAAATGATG